TTTTCATTTCCAGCTTGCCGAATGGTTGTTTTTAACTTCATTTGCTTCCTTTAAGTTTTCTCTCAAATCGTTATTTCCGCTCGGCAGATAGTTAACAGTTTATCAATATTCGCGCAAGCGCGAATTGTGCGGAGCTATCGCTGGAAATTTTCTTAGGTACTCTAACTTTGCGCTCTGTTATAAATCTGACGTTCAGGTGGTATTAAGTAAATCTAAGGGAACGTTTAAATTAGTGCTTAAATTATGTATATATATTAAAGGGTTCTCCGCAGTTCAGAAATTCCGACTGATTTCTCTCTTATCGCTGTTTCTTATCCATTTATCATCGTTCTTGCATACGCCGCATGTCGCGGAGTTTCCGTAATTGTTCTTAGAGAACTGTTGAGAGTGAAGAAAGTCTCACTCACTGCGTGATCATTACTCTAACAACCCGAGGTCTCACCGCAATACTATTACTTTCTCTCGAATTGTAGTTAATATCTCGAAAGCAAATAAAAATAATAAAAATATAAATAAAAATTAATGAAACAAGGTTTAGAAATTTATTCTAATCGCTCGTATAATTACGCAATTAAATAAATTTGCAAATTAATTTGTTGGGTGAATTTTTCATTATTTTTATACATGATAATATAGTTTTAGTTTTTTAATTTTTTATTAGACATATATTTATAACAAAATATTTTTTTACGGCAAATTCTCTAAATTTTTGTAATATAAAATGAAGAATGTTTGTGAAGAGTTATAAGATGAATTTAAGTTTGCACTTGTTCAACTGTACTCAAGAGATGTGTCGAAGTGAAAGTTTGCTAACGTACGAAGTTCGTTTCTCACTTCTGAATTTTTATAGCTAAAGTTAGGAATCAATCTTTACCAAATATTTGATGGCGTGTGTTAGCTTCCCAGTCATAATATTCAGGATTATAGCATATAGGTTTTGTTGGAATCTTGCCAATCCAGCACGAGGAACTTGCTGAGGATAAAAAGTTTATTTATAATTGAATATCAGATGTAAGAAGTGCTGCGAGCGTCATCGCGATATATAAAGTCATTGTCTCAATGGTGGATGAAATAAATGGTTATAAAATTTGAATTTGATATAGAAAAATAGGCTCCACTTCTCGATGGCTATCAGTAATCGATATTGGCAAGATATGTATACTATAAGATTCAGAGACAAAAGAATATTCGAATATTTTCTACGTTTAATCTGTTTGAGCAATTAAAAAAAAAAAATGAATTCGAATTTAGGATAGTTCGAACAGTTTGATCAGCGCTGATCGATCTGTAATATTAATTTGTAGTATATCAAGATTCGAGCAATTTGGACATAAAAAAAAATTAAAGCAAAAACAGCATGCAAACAGCTTTTTGCTTTCGCCTTATTTTACACAGATATCAATATCAATATTGATGATATTTATATCGCACATTTGATAAAATTGGTTTCTAATAATCGAGAAAATGAGAGATTGAGAGAGAGAAAAAGTAAATGTAAACGATCTTGTAGCTAGCCAAATAAATCAGCAGAAATGTTATTAAATTTTATAAATATCTGTTTATCACACATACTTCTTTCAACATCAAATCGTTATATTCATCGAGATTCGAATTCTCCGAATTGATCACCCGAATTGAGCACGAGAAATAATAAATAACAAATAAATTACTTACCTTAATTTGCTTTTTTTGTGATACATTTTATCCATAATATTTATGAGCTTCCTCCTTTTATCAATTTTATCCATCGATGTTCCTTCGTGACATTTATTCACGAAAATATAATATGCAAATAATCATTAAATTTGATAACCGTACAGTTCTACCAGCATTACATAAACGAATAACTCACAAAAATAATCACTTTCTACTCGATAATTACTAGAGTATAATATTAATACTCGCGATTTGGGAGCTAACTATGTAACAATTCGGAATGCGTTTCGCCCGCACGAGTGCTTCTGTACGACTGACAGCAAGGTGATAGTGTGTAGACAGTAAACGCTGCAATAATAAAAAATAGTTTTTTTAAAAACGCCAGCGCCGCAAGACAATATCGAAATATGTAAAGCGTATGCTGCGTTGTAGATCATAAGAAAACATACAATCAGCATTGAAGATGACAAATATTAAACCAAATTTTATACGAGCGAGTATTTAAGTTTGAGAATAAGAACTACTTCGTCCTGTAATTTATTTTTGTTTTCACGTCTCAAGCAAGCTCTTGGTACCAACGCTGAAAATGTCGACAGACGTTCTTAACGGAATTCAATAAAATTTCTTCTAGAAGTTGTAAGAATGCCGGCAGAAGAGTATTGCGGGGAATATGAATTGGTTTATGGAATACGAATAATAATGTTCCGCTATCGATGATTTCTTGATGTCTCAGAAGTATTTAAGATATCGCAGACCGGTCGCACTTTTTTTATTCCCCTTTTTTATTTTTCCTAAGAATGTAAAGATATCAATAAATTGCAAGCGATTGAATTAAGGAAATCAATATTGTGAAAAATAAATTTGAAAGATGCGAATAAGAGAAGTATATTTTTTAGGAAATTTTAAAAATAGATTGTATTTTAATAAAATCTTATTTTAAGATTTGATTACTGAAATATTTATGCAGGTTCAATTGAATCAATTGTCCGAAAACTTTCAGACTTTAATGATATCTGCAAAATGGGTGATCGCTCATCGCTCTCGTGCTATCTTTTGAGGCACTTTCTCATACGAAATCATAAAAATGCGTCCACTTTGTCAACGATTTATCTTCCCTTTCTGTAATGTCAATTAATAACTAATAATTTTTTAATTGTTTTTTTCTGCTGTTACTAATACCAATTAATGAAAATGTTTGGAATACCGTTTTCGGCATAATTTTCAGTCCATTCGTTTACGTCGAGCGTAGAATTGCTACGTAGAAATGCTACGCAAAACAGAAGTTATGGAGGATAATTCGTCTGGAGTAGACGACTGGTACTCAATGAAGTGACGAACTGGACGGACGGTTCTGGACTGATTACGCGCGTTTTGTGGTCCTCGTTTACGTGTTGATAATTTTTTGACAATTTTTTTCTGAATCGGTAATTTTCTAGCAGACAATAATGCTTACGACAGTAATAATCCTGGCCATCTCCACATTCCATCCGAAAAGTATGGATAGATGTTTAAATCCATCGGTTTTTCACGTGGAGCGTAATAAGTAGCGACGTCTTTCGTCGACAGAATATAGCGCAAGCCATTTACGGCATGTCAGTATCGTGAACTGCACTTCCTTCGCCAAAGCGTGCAATTGCGGCACTTAAGACTGAAAAAGCCGCATTTCACGATTACGAACTCGTCGATCGTTTCTCAGTGCAAAGTATTGAATCATCACTACAGCGGATATTTACTATATCTCGATAAACCGTGTATAGTTGAATCAATTGTCCGAAAACTTTTATAGTTAATGATATCTATAAATTGATTGACAATGAAGAAAAGACTTGATGATTCTCGCATAATGTTTTGAATATTGAGCAATGAATAAAGTAGTACAGTGAAACGCACGTATGTACCTCTGTCGAGTAGCATGCCGGCAGCAATATTGTTTCGATATTTTGCGTGATATACGCGTTTGTTTCATTTAGTAAGATTATTAACACCAATTTCAGTATAAAGAACATGTTACTTTATGAGTTTTTGAATATTAAGTTATATATTAAATAATTTATATACACGTTAGAGTGCTCTCATATTTATTATGTCTCACGAGATCGCGTATAACGCACGTATTGACATTTGTATTTAGAATTATGTTTCGTTTGATTTCTGTTTTATATTATCTCTTTGCTACATGTATATGTATAAATATTTTTGTTTCTGAATCTTGAATTTGAGAAGAATACTTAACAGTGTAGGTTTAGAAAGTGCAATTTATCGCTAATATATATGTATATTATATGTAATATTATTTGGAAACATGTGAGTTCAACTGTCAATAATTTGATTTCTAAAAATTTATAATTAAAGTTGGTATAAAAATTTGTCGTTTAATATCTGTTACGTTGGTATAAAAATTCGTCGTTTAATATCTGTTACGTTTTGAAAATTACATTTATATTTATAGGTGTCAATCTAAATGAAAAAAAGGGAAACGACTAAAAAACGACATAAAAATAAAATAACACATATTGCGACGGATATTGCAGGTCAATATTTTTTTCACATACTTTTTATCTAATGAAAAAGATTTCCTTATATAAAGTATTAATATGAGTAACAAAATATATTGAGACTCAATTATTTCTTACATCATTCGACGGTCATTCGGTCATGTAATACGCTTATAAATTCAGGAAATGATCAGTTATTTGCAGGCGCCGAGAATGACAAAAGAGAAGAAAACTCGGTTGTGCATATAATACATATCTTATTTAAAATACAATAGAATGAATATGCATAGCCAATGCCACTTGAAATGCAAATTTTTAATTACACTCAATAGCCAAAATATCAAAATAAAAGATATAAAATTATTACATACAAAATTATTTGTTTATATACAACAATATAAATCACATATTACATTTAACGATGTAATAACTTTAAAAGTTTCGCATGAATAATATTTTATTTACAGAATACGAGTATGTTACATGTTAAAAATTAATCGGCTAAAAACAGGCTGACATCATTGCTGCTGAGATGAGTTGAAGCTTGACACAGATTTTTATTAAAAGCATATTTTTGAACCATCACAACTGCAAATTTATCTTTATTAAAAATTGATAGTTTGTTGATATAAAGCGTGCTGCGATTTGTATGGGAATAATTGTATCAGAGCTTCGGGAAAAGTTATTATTCTCGTGTGTCAGAATTTCAAATATTTACCTTTTAAAGTTTTATAAATTCACAAACGCGTACAATAAATAACAGGCATAATGTGTGAAATTTTATTCCGGAATAAATAGTGTAAAATTTTGACGCGTTATTATATAATTAATAATTCGAAGCTAATTATCTGCAAATTATATTGTACAAACTTATTTATCTATTTACAACGTTATATGTTTTATATATATATCTAAAAATAGTGAATTAAAATAGATCACAGATCGCATTTAACTACAGAAACAGTGTCCTCTGATCTTTTCGTGGACGTTGTGCTTTCGTTGCTGAGTTGTTTGTTAGCGAGATAATGCCCCCTTGCAAAGAGAGGTTCCGATGAATTTTCCTTTTGCAAGTAGGCGTTTTGAAAGAACCTGCTTGTATTTCCGTTACTTCTGCTGCTGTTCTTGGTATTCTCTCCTCTGCTCGGTGTAAAACACAATATCTCTTTGGCTTGGGCAATGGTACATCTGGAGAAAATATATAAAATTATTATGGTGTGACACACGTCTTTGGAAAAAAAATCTGACACGTGGATATTCTGTTAAAATATAAAATAATCATTTGCCACCAAAATTTTATTATTTGTTACTAATAGCATAGAGAAAATTTTAATGAAAAAAGTATTTCAAAGCTTTTCAATGTCTTGTTAGAAATTCAAATCACTGCCTTAAAAAAATATTGAACTTCAAAGTCGTACCTGACGGAACACATAATGTTTCGATCGTGATCTTTATTCGAGAAATCGCATCTGCATAGATAAGATTTTTGATTTAAAGTTTTTTTTGCTGATCTTCTATTTCTGCAGCATATCGTTTGGTTAAACGCATGACGATATTTGACGCTCATCAGATTGTAGAAAATAGGATTAACGGTGGCGCTGAAGTAATATAGACAGCCGCTTAAAATGTACAACCATTCGTTTAAGTCCAAATAGTAATCGGATTCTTGCGCGTAAATATAAAGCAGACGCTGCGTGTGAAACGGAGCCCAACACAGGAAAAACATGATAACAACCGCGCCTGAAACGCAAATTACATAAAGAATTTTAATATTTATAGCTTAATTATCAACGTTCTGTAATGTTTAAAAATTTCAAAAGGAAAAGAAAATGTGCGGCTTGATCGAATTTAGATAAAATCAGTTTTAGAGTGCTTCATGCGATACGTAATACATTCGCAATTAAATTTGCACTTGTTTGCAAATCTTTTTCACCATAATTAAATTATTAAAAGGAGAATAGCAATTGTAATGTCGTACTTAACATCCTGATGACAGACTTCCTGGACTGAATCTGTCGATAATCGCCGTGTACGGTGCCTTGTATCGCACCCAGTGCATCTTTCGTCGTGCTCTTGATTCTCAATCCCATCCTCGTATACATCACGAGGATTATAAGCATCGGTATCAGAAAGAATACGATACAGCTGAGCTCGTACAGAGGAAATTTTGGCATGTTGGGCAGAAGCATCGCACAAATCGCCGAATCAGCCGAATAATTTCCTGATCCTGTACGATTATAACGTTATAATATACAATGTATTGGTTATATTCTAATTTTAAATGTGGAAAAAAATTGTGAAAATACTAGATAGACAGTTTAACCAGATTTTGTGCAATTATAATCAAAATTGAGAATTTGCAACAGTGATAAAAATATCTCAAACTTACAATACAAGAGAAAATTCTGAAAGAATTTGATACTTGATGACTGGTGCAAAAATCTTAATAAATAATTAAAAATCGAAGGATTGTGAGATAAGATAATTAGAAAATTTGAATAAATTGTTGAATACTTATTTATGAAATCGTAATAGACATAAAGAGAGGAATATGTCGACTTAACCTGGCGGATATTCGATGAAATTGACTTTGGTGTAAATCGCAAAAGGTATGGCGGAGAATATCGCGATTAACCAGGCTGCAAGGATGAAGCGAGTTGGTCTTTTGAGACCGCTCATCGAATAAACGCGCAATGGGTGACAGATGGCCAGATATCTCTCCATAGAAAACGCCACGATCGTGAGAACTGAGACATAAGATGACCTACAAGAAGTGATACTCAGATTTAGAAAGTGTCGAGTCTCCGTGGCACATTAAAAGGCTGGAGACAATATGGTATTTCTTACATCTCCGATACATATGCCCGGATCTTGCAAAGCGCCACGCCCATTGCCCACGGATATTGCTGCCAGAACACACTTAATTCATTGGGAAGACCTGAAATGATTGATTAACAGATTGATAGATCGGCGATTAATAGATTAGAATCTTCTATGAAAGTGATACGAACATTTCTACGAATTCGTACGTAACGAGTTTATTTCAGTGTTTAGTATCGAAAAAAATTACATTATCATGGTTTTTTTTTCAATCTTTAAAATCATGATCTAATAAAACGCAGTAAGATGGGCTTTGTAAGCCTGTTTAACAATTTACAAAGTTTATCTAAAAGCTATATATGTGTGTAATCCTTAATTTTGCTAACAAAATTATAGATTTTTTTCCACCGGCTTTGAACGTGCTATTCAGATTTTCGCTTTAATCTTCTTATGTTTTTTCTAATTACGTTAGTGCGCATCAGCATGCAAAATTCCAAACGACGTGTTACTTGGATAAAACACTCGCGAGAGCGCAAATTAATTTCCCGAAAAGCAGATTTACGAGTGACTTAAGTTTGCGCTGGTAATTAACGCGGAGGCATCACGTCGCGTCACGTAATATTAACGAGGTTGCGCTTCCTCCACACTGCGTAACGCAAGCTAAAATAACTTTCACGCACACCGCGAAAGCGAACGAATATTCTCCGCGCACATTTGTGCGAGTTAAATAAATAATAATCGATTTTTCTAATTTTCGGCAATTCGCTAGCACATTATTAAGATCTCTTTTGCTGTATAAATCCTGAATATCAAAGTAATTGAAGGAACGTTGTATTATTTTGTAGCCTTCTAAATCTCAATCAAGAAGTAGATTGCCAAAGAATACATTATCATTAATAATGCCAAGAGTATCTCGTCTCTTTCTCGTCTCTTTTCTCGGTTTTCACGTTGCAACATGAGGGATTTTACATCTTTCGCTTATCTCCCAAAGCATAAAAGCTATCCGCTAGTCGTTCGTCATGCAATCGTTTATACTTCTTTTACGAAGCGTCACAATGGATAGCGAAACTCTCGTAATGCTCAGTTGTCACCGCCGGAAGTTAACGTATCGTGCACAGTAGAGCTTCCTGGAATAGAAGCCCTTCGATCCGCTCCCATTGTAGCTAACATTTTCTAAAGCGATGCTCATTATATAACAACGCTCGTCACCCAGCGAAGCGCGAAACCCTTTTACTGCATTTGTATAATGACCGTTGCACCATTTTTAACTTCACGCGCGCGCGACTATTTCATTTTCAATTTCTCTCTTTTTTTTCCTTTTTCTCTATCGCATATCACACTCTATATAACTAATTTATAAATAATTAAACTCTTTGACTCTTGAATAATATATCTCTCCCGATATCCATCGATTTCGGCGAGTTTACGCAACGTAATTACGTTTATTTTATTTTTTTTTTTTAATTAAAAAGTAGTTTTTTAGTTTGTCAAATTACATACTTTTTGGCTTATTCATCCAAATCGTATTTATTTTATCTGCCTCTTTAAACGAAATTCTTATTCATTATATTAAATATTATTTGGATTCTATTCAGAAATGCAATTAAATTTTGTTTCATACATTTTAAGAAGATATTAACGGCTTTCACGTTTCCAAGTACGCTTAAAGTAACGAAGAGATGTCTTACATCTTTTATATAGAATCGTTATTGTGTCTAACAATGGTATTCGAATTGCTCGATTTAATTATATATACATATACATATATATAAATAAGCAGTCCTTATTTACAGCCTTAATTCTTCGGTTTCGTAAATTTCTCACAATGACGTAAATGCGAATGTCGTTTCAACAAACAAACCACCGTGGAGATAACAGTTGCGATTGTACACATAAAACAAAGATTAATTTCAAGCTTTTATCTATGTGCGTCAATGCTGAGAAGGTAGCTAAGAGTCTCGCGTCAAGTGATCGTGATAGCGCGATAATATAGATAATAATATAATAATTGATTTCTTTTATACCGAAAAAAGATTTCCACTACAAAATATTCGTATTACATTTGCATATTTTACAAAAGCCCGATACAATTATTACGAACAAATTCCACACGATTTTGCAAATAAATCATTAATGATATAACAGTTAAAGGCTAGAAACTATTTCTTAAAAAAAAGCTTAAACAGATAAATAACTCTTGATAAGTTTTACAATTGCAGATAATATTCTTGACATGACTATAGCTTATAATATTTTTTATTGATGCCGTTGAGATATTCTCGCTTTTGAATTCTACAAAGCAAATAATATTTAATGGAAGGTGCGAAAAAGCATGCCAGACACATCGGAGATTCTCATTTTTCATTTTAAAGCGCGCTAATTTTATCCTACCGCTCTATTGGCTTTAAAATACGAACAAAATTGTTCCTTCGACGGAATTCGGCCTCATTCATTATTAAGGCTTTTTTTCCACCTTATTCAGCACCGTCGGAAATAGCTTGCAGTAAAATTTATGCATTTCACAAACGAATTTTCGCCCAATTGACATATCCATTGTTCCGCGTTGTCCAAACGAGAGCAGGTTAGTCAAGTCGATAATCGTTATCATTTCGCTTTAGCGATTATGAAAATCATATTATTATCTGGCCATCGACAGAGTTAACGAGCCGTTGATTTAGCGAACTAGCCGCTTTTTGATCATCGACATTGCTTTGTATCAATTCATGATTAAAAGCGACAGCTCTCTTTCTCTCTCTCTCTTTCTTCTCTCTCTCTCTCTCTCTCTCTCTCTCTCCCTACGCTTTGATAAGGGAAGAATGTCTCCCACTCGCGGATATAATCTACTTGGCGCAAGAGACTCGCCAGAGTCTCTTGAATCCCCATTCTATTACGCGTACGAAATTCCGTGTCGTGCGAAATAAAAGACGTATGTTGAACGCGAACAAAGAACGTAGCAGCACGTGAAACGCGAAAGCCGAAGTAGCTTCAGATCGTGTTCTATTGAATTTTTCATTTGCATTTCTTGTTTTCAGGATGATAAAGAGGCGGAGATGTCGAGCTTCGATCGGAATAAACTGGGGCAGGTATTAAAAATCCGTATTCGGATGACTACAAAGAGATAATAGAAAATCAAATAGAAGTCAGGCGTGTTCTTATTTTTTCTTTTAATTTTGCATTATAGGATTTTTTTCAACAGTTTGCAGACGCCATCCAATGTTATATTGCTACTAGTGAAATCCAATTATTCTAAAGAGATGCACATCGAATATTAATCCACCCATTGGAATTTACAATTCCCAACGCTATCTTTCTTTCTACTGAATCTATCTATCTTTATTACTAAATAAAACGTTTCCTTGTATTTTTATACGAAAGAAAATATCACAAATTTAATTTCTCGAGATCGATTATTTTTAATCGCTCTACAATCTATTTTATAAACTATCAACGGTTTATTAACAATTGCAGTTGTCGAATTTAGCAAACTCACTGTTCCAGCTGATATTTTTGTCTCTGATGAGTTAACAAAGATGAAAGAAATAATGCAATAATGCGAGGAAGAACGAGCTTGAAAGGCATTAATTTTCGAAAGTAATGTTCTGTGCAAAAACGACGCCGTAATTGATTACATTCTAAGAATGCACGAGCATGTGCAACACACATTTGTACATCTTTCGTGTTCACTCACCCAGTGTAAGTAGAGTGAGGTCGGATATGGCCAGACTGAAGAGGTAATAGTTGGTGGCGGTTCGCATGGATGCGTTCCGGACGATGACCGTGCACGTGGCGACGTTGCCGAAGATGCCAGTGACGAAGATAACCACGTAAGCAATCGTGAGCGGTATTACGAGACTTAAGGGCAAATACTTGGGTCCGAGCACCGCGTTCAGGTATTCGGCCTCGGTCAAATTCCGCCAGCAATCGAGCGTTCCGTTCTCCGCGCATTCTGATATCATGTCTCGGAATCGCAAGTGCAAACAAATGAGCAGAGCGACTCGCGTTTCGATAAACTCGTCGAAATCAGTAAACCTTGCTGACGCCTCGTTAACAGGTCATCCGTTTATACGCTCGAATCTTCCTCTCGCGGGATCCTTCCGCGGAAGGAGATGCGAACAGAGAAACGATAGTCGCTTATGCGTCCTGAATTCTTTGATGAATCCCCGAGACAGCGTGCGCCGAAAGGAATTGCATTCTGAGTGCCTGATGAATGCCGCGGTGTTCGTATTGTTCCTTCGAGGGCAATCTCTCTCGACGCGAAATTGAGCGGGATAAAAGCGCAGGTACGTGTTCACTTCTTGCTGTTCGACAAGATGATACTTCCGTGTCCTTGAGCCTTTTGTCCGAAGAACAATTATATCCCGCTCGATTGTAGAGTTACACAGAAATTATAATTTAATTAAAAAATCACAATTTAATTAATTTAATTATAATTTGCTCAGAAAGATCAATAGAAATCGCGCACTCTTTTATATGTCGCACCACTAAAATATTTATGTAATTTAATTCCCAAACAACAGTCGCTATGCACAGTTGTTCAAGTTCATGCACTCTTTTTGTCCCTTTATATTTACACAATTTTGCACAATCGAAAAGCTCGCAGTTGTAAATCGATCGAATACACTATTTACAGTGGCTGCAAATAAAATCACGACTCTCGATATACTGACGACGTATTGTTTACAATTCAGCATTCACATGGCAGAACATCAAACTGCCGAAAAAGAACATGTTATTTGTAATTTGCCGGAGACATATGTTTCGACAAGTTTATAGCGTTTGTAATTTCAAAAACATGAGTTTTGTTATGACGAATCGTGCAAAGTGACCTCGTTGTTTTAGCTTGTCAGTCAGCGCCGATGAGTCCACGTATATCAGAATAGAGAGAAACGTCCACCACGAGGGAGAAGATATTAAATCAACGTCACTCGCGATAGGATGTCGCGTACGAACTGAATCGCGATACTCTCGATGATACCGCAGATACCTGATGATTGCTCAGCCCGTAGATTCCGCGCGCTGATAGAAAACTTCTCCCAATATAGCACCGCGTTGATAAATCAGATTAATTATATTGTTTTCTGGGCATCGTTAAAAACACAACAAAACTCACAGAAAATCTGCATTATCATCTTAATTCGACATATCTCGACATTGTATCGAACTCGAAAAGATTCAGGAAATTAATATCGAAACGGCGAAATGTGTGAAGTTAAAAGAAAATTTGTTCAAAGATTTTATATTACATTGAAAAAAAATTTCTCCACGAAGGATGCATGTTAATTCTTGAAACAAAGTTTTCTCCACGAAGAACATGCGTTAAGCTTCAAGAAAAAATTTTTCCACACAAATTTAATAATAAATGTTGTTATTACTTTTCTTAAGGGAAAATTTACTTCAAAACCACACTTCACCGATATTTCGACATTGGCTTCTTAAATTTCTTTGAAGAAAACGACAAAAATTGTCTTAAATACTGAATAATTTTCACGGTACTTTGGTAATATTCTCGGAAATATTTTTCTGTAGCGTCAACCATTATTTCGAAATTTTTTCGAAACTATTTTCCGTAGAGTTCACAAACAGCATGTGTAAGATGAGCATTTTAGGTCAGGTTTCCATGCTATCCACTTACTGCCAAGCATGGTAAAGTTTTAGCCAGATAATTTAACTTTGCAGTAAGCTGTTAAGCTTTTAAATATACCTAATTTATATCCTTTCACTTTAATAATTCTCTGCAAAAAACCATGATTATCAATACGATTAATAAGTTAATCTACATAGTTTTGCATTTTAATTTTTAATTAAAAAATAACAAAATTGATGTGCATATTATAAAAATTATTTTATGCACATAAATTAACATGATAAATATTATCTCTTGTTTTTCATTTATTTCATTTACAATTTATTATATTTCTACATTAATCATAAAAAAGTTTGCATAAATAATCCATGAAAAATCACTGCGTAGCGTGAAGAAATGCATTTCTGCTATTGCCTTTTCTCAAATCTCTTTTTCTAAATCTCTCTCGTGCATGAACAGTTTTCGCAAAACGATCTTACTTATTATTACTGGCATTTGCGCAACATTACTCACTTTCTGTTTACATTTATTCGCGTCAACCGAACTGAAGCTAGTATATCACTGCCTTATCTGCACAAAAGTGTGACTTCTTAAGCCCAAATAAATCGTTTTTGCTAACGCCGCTAACGTCTTTCCGATATGAGTCGCAATACTTCGTATCGTTTTATACACAACGAGATGCTCGTCGTGCGCATTCACATTCCACATATTCTATAAATGTGAAGAAAAAATTTTAAGAAAAGATTCTCTTGCGCGTTATCTCGCGGGAACACTTGACACGAACAAGAAAGATTCTTTTAGAAAAATAAAAGAGCAGCGTTTTATCAACAATCCTATCTCGTTGTATCTACGCCCTTTGCATCATATCTCTGAAAATATTCTAAAATTTGAATAGACAATTTATCTTGTATCTCCAAAATGCAAATTAGTCTGCGTGAGTTCGTTATTGATTTTACTAGCACATATAACAATTACAAGTTTAATTAAAAATTTTCCCACACGTTTAGTTGTTTGTATCAATTTATAGATAAAGAACAAAGACTAAACATTTTAGAAATCCGTCGCGTTTTATAATTGATTATAAACTTGAATTGTTTTACAAAGGCAAAGATAGAGGCAAGATAAGGAATCGGTAAATTAAAGTTTTATAAGGTTAAGGATTTAATTTCGCAAAACCAATCTTCTTTCTCATTCATTCGTTTATCGCAAGTATCTAAGAAAGCTCCACGCGATAAGAAAAATCGCCAGAGGCAGTTCTTCGTCATTAAAGAAACTTAGGTATTATTTCTGTGCAAATAGAGACCGGACGGTTTCGTTACGCAAGTCCATCTCTATTAAAGTGGATGGGAATGTTGCCTCTGTCAAACTTCTGATGAGCGCAATAAAAAGCGCGACGTAACTTTCCTTAAACGGCATAAATCGTACGCCGTAACTTTGCACGTTGCCGGAGCGGTTTCAATTATGCGCACTCGATACGCGAGACTTGAAGAAAAACTCGGTCAAGCATACAGGTGCTTCCACCTAGATTCTTCAGCTTTTCTTCGTGACCAGTAATTCAATCCTTTGACTTCGGTTTTTTGTCTCTTCCACTTGAATTTCTTTAAAAGACAACCGAGTAATTCCTTTCTCGCGCACTCGCGAAAAAAATAAGCAGCTTTAAAGTCACTTGATCAAACCACTTGATTGAAAATAAATAGGTAAATTAAATTTTAACAATTATGACGTGGACATTTCTTCTATAGACTGCTAAAACAATCTACTTTGACTTAGAAAATAAACAGTAGTTAAGCAAAATTTTCTAACTTTTTGCAACGCGTTTTCTATATTATTAATCGCTTACCGAATATAGTGTTAATTCTCCTTCTTATCAAAATAATACTCTCTGAAAATTAGTACCTATTCTGCTTTAATTACTTCTCACCTAAATATTCTTCGCAAATTCTTTGAAACAAATAGCAAGTTTTTCTTCGATTAAATTCTTAAGGAATTTAGAAAATCTTTTCAGCATTACGACACTGAGAATTGCTAAATTAAGAATTTATATAAAAATGCTAATAAATGATAAACGGAAAAGAGGAGTAAGTGAAGCATGCAGTGAGGAAAAGGTGATAAAAAGAGAAAAGAGAAAAAAGAAGGCAGTAATTAAGAAGATAGAATTAGAGGAATGGAACGAGTATTTCATGGAACTTTTGGGGGGGGGGGGGGGAGTGTGGAGGGAAAGGTTGTGAGAGGATTAAGAGAGGGTGGAAAAAAAAACGAGGAAAAGATAGAATGGGAAGAGATTAGCAGATAGGAAAAGTAAAAATAACAAAGCTGTGAAACAGTATACAGATTGAAGCATGGAAATATGAGAGGAAGAAATGAGAAAGTGGGTTATAAATGTAACAGAGTATAAATGACTGGGAGAATAGAATAAGGGGGTAAATGTGTCTGTATTGAAAAAGGGGAGGGAAAAAAAGTGGACGATTGTGCGGGTGTGCGCTATGGTAATAGTAAAATCAAATTCGACATATATGCAAAAATATTATTTTAATTGTACATACAATATTAATAAAAATAGGAGATTTTTTTACTAACAAGTACAAAATTATACATATTTGCAATGTGTGCAAAAGGAAAGTCTGTCGGTCTTACGCTAATTAGAGTCACTAGAGTCTGAATCGCTCTCACTATCGTCTAATTGACTGTTATGGCACCTATTCGTATTTACGAAAAGCTCCTCGTCGTCGCACGTCGTATAATTTGTTTCTATCGAATGCCCGTTCCTTTTCAGATCGTCGTCAAATTTTGACGGCCAACAGTTCTGCGCGCGGTACAACGTTATGTGATCCTGAAAACATAAATACGACATTGTAATGAAAGATAGAACAGCATTGTTAAATATTTTTAACAGAATTTATTTCTTTCTATTTCTCATAATTTTCTTAATATCTTCATAAAACGATGTGAAAAGAACTGATAAAATGGCACAATAAATATAGACAAATAACTATAAAATCACCTTTGTGAGTATCTTGACAATTTCGCCTTTGACTTTCTTGCCTTCCTTGATCGGCTCGATAACAATGTAGTCACCCCTCTTCACAAAGATATTTTGTCTGAATTTTGTGGGCATCGAAACGAGGTACTGTTCTCCATCCGCAGTGACGACTTCGTGGAGATTATGGCCGCGAGCTGCAACGATTCGCACGATAGTTTGCGAATCCGTGGGGAGGCTCATATCGTCGAGCTCCTGGAAGACGTGTTTCCGCTTCGTCGCTATAGACATGGTGCGCGCTCTGTAAAAGTAGATTAAAAAAGATTCTGATTTTTTTTCTCTTTTTCTGTACACTTTCCCTTATTCGAATGTTAAATGAAACAAAATGTTTGATCGTCAAAAATAGCAGTACAAAATTAATTTTTATTTAAACAGCTTTAAGCGACGGATTTTTCCACCGGTTGCGTGCTGCATTCCGCTGCTAATTTAACTTTGCGACTTTTCGCGTTGTGCCACCAGCCTAGCGAACCGTCGGATCTCTCCAAGGCGGCCCACACGTCTAAGCTCTCGCCGGGAGGTATTTCGTATCCGTTTTGCAGACCGTGAGGATTCGAAGGAGTTTTGCAGTCGTGAGCGGACTCCTTGCGAAGGACAGTATCGACTTCCACGGCGGCGAAGAACGCCACCGACATCGGCAGGTCTCTCATGCCCAATCTCGAGACGCAGAACGACCTCGTCATCAAGTTGGTCACGTGCATGGCCAATGCAGCGTTGTACTTGTACCTGGACGGCACCAGATATCTCACTTCGTCGTGAAACGAAAGGCAAAATCGGGCGTTGTCCCTCATCAGCCATCTCATGGAGACCAACATCAAGTGGAGAAAGTCCACCGCACCGCTCTGCACCACCCAGTTGACCTTCGTGGGCAAGAACTTGTCGTCGTCGTCGGTGTTGGTGATCTCCAGGGCGCGGCTCAGTCTTGCGCCGAGGAACGGCGTGACCGGGTGCTTGCTGCCAGCGATTTGCTCCAATCGGTTGAACATGGCCGATTCCGAGCCGCCAACCCATTCGCTCTTCCGAAACATATCGTGCAGCGGTTTGCCGTGCAGCTTCGCCACTTGATACGCCTGATAAGACGTGAGAGGCTCGTCTCCCAGGTCGTCGTTGACGAATTCAGCCTTCAGCCGGAACACTTTCTTGCCCTTCGTGAGGGCGAACATCTTGCGCGACTTTGAGATCGACTCGGCGTCCGTCATGGACGGATTGAACTGTTTGAGCAGTCGCTCGGCGAACTTCTGACCGGCGCCGTAGATCCGGGCGTAGTTGATGACCTTCGCGTGATCGCGCGAGATACCGATAGCCTTGGCGGTGACGCTGTGCATATCGGTGCCGTTGGATTTCGTGCCGATCAAAGTCATCCAGCCGAAAGGCGTCGCTCCGTGAACGCTCTTGTAATGTGCGTCTCCGATGAGCGAGGCGATCCACAGTTCTTGGCTGTCCACATCGGCGCCCACTATGTTGTATCCCGGCGGGGCTTGCACCATGCATCTCAGCTCGGAGCCGATCCGTTCCGCGTGCGCATTCGACGCCGTCATCCACGTGGGCTCCACGGCGCGTCGCGTTAAAGTACCGGAAACGACCACCTGAGGTATTATCGCGCCGTAACGCGCGCCTCCCTTCGTTCTCTTAAGGCTGCTCGGCAGAGACCGGTCGTCCAGCCAAATCACCAACTGCGACATGATTCTGTCGCGATTGTTTCGCCAATAGGACAGCGTACGAGCGATCTTCAGCACCTCCGCCGCGCTGACGTCCAAACCGGCGAGCACGTTCTCGGAAAATTTGTTGAGGAAGTCTTTGGCGAGCGGATTACCGACGTTGTAGTTGGCGCCGTCCTTGTGCGGCAGCTTGAAGAAGTAGCAGCAATTGTCGATGTCGACGTTGCACCACACACCGGTGCCCTTGTACATTTTATCGTCCGGGCCGTTCTTCTTCTTCTTAAATCGCCAGAATTCCGTCTTGTGAAGGTCGTTTTGCACGTCGGTGCTCAAAGTGAACATAGCGTCGCCGGAAACGTCTCTAGACCCGTTAAACATCGCCAAGGGGCAATGCGCCAGCAGATTCTTCAACGGTAGTTTCGTCCCAACGTCGGGATCGTTCGTGTAAGGCACCAGAATTCCCCAACCGCGATCCCTTATATAATGCAACGGATATTTTTCCCAAGTAAGATTCAGCAGCTTCGGAACCACCTGCATGGACGTGCTGATGTTCTGCGGACCTGGCGCCCAGTCTTCATCGCTCTGCTTGGGACAGAGTTTTCTGTACCAGGCTGGATATCCTGGCATATGAGGCATTCTAGCCGGCAATAAGTGCCTGGTTTCCTCCAAATAAGCAAATTGCTTCGCCAAACAATCCTCCTCTTCTTCCTCGCCGTCCGACAAATATTTCTTATCGTCCGCTTGATCGTTTACATTTTCTGTCACACTCATTTCCGTATTGAGCTCTGTTTTTGAGGGCGATGCTTTACTCTTCATCTTAATTTCCCGCGTACTCCAGTCCTGATCCCACATCCACAGGTCTTCCTTGTACTTTTCGTCGTGCATGAGATGACAGACAGTATCGGCTCTCTTGGCCAGAGTGAATTTTGCTTCGTAGTTTAAATCGTCGAAGGTGGATTCCGACTCCTCCAAGTATCTCTGCCAGTTAGAATTCACCGGCAAGTACGCGGAGCCAAGCTCTAACATTCCGGCTAGAGTAACCGGATGCGGAAATCTCTCTTGAAACAGTGGAAATAAATTGCGTAAGACGTTGTGAGTGGCGACCGCGTCAGAGGCGCAATAACTCATCAGCATATTAAAATTATTTTTCACATCTTCAATAGTACCTTCGACAAATATGTCTCTCGATTCTTTACTTATCTCATGACCGCAGTACAGCTTGTGCACCTCCACCAAGCTGTTCAAGGAAGTGTTGGCCAGCCACAAATCCTTCTCTTGGATTGTTTTCTTAGACATTAATAACGATCTTTGGTAACTGTTGAGACCACTGACGCATATGTGCAGTGACATGGTGTCGAGAAAACGAGCTCCTGTACAATTCAGCCAATACTGCTCCTTGATTCTGATTCTGTCGTATGATACGTTGTGACCTACGATAATCTTCGGTTTCTTCTGATGCTGATTCAACTTGTGTCCATATTCCTCCTTGTTACTTTCCATAGGAACAAGCATGCTTGGAGTAAACAATTGTGTATCAAACGTCTGACTAATATCCTGCGCCAAAGAATTCGATACCCAGCCGTACCATGCTTTATTACTCACCGCTGTGGCGAGAGTGGGCAAGGGACCCTGCTTCATACAAACTTCAACGTCGAAAATTACACCATCCTCTAGCGGATAATCTACACTTTCTATCGCACCATCCGCAGAATATCTAGTCCATCCTTCCTTGAAAATCCATTGCTTTGGCATCTCGGGAATATCCTTAACAATTTCATTTATAATGTTTAAATAGGGCCTCGCTTGAGCTTTTCCAATATTATAAAAGTGCTCTTCTATATCTTTTCCTTCCAAAACTGGTAGTTTCAAGTTTACATCTGGTAGCTTGGTTGCATCCTCTACATTTATACCATACACGTCCAAGTTTTTTCTTATACTGCTGATTTCTTCTTCCGAGAGAAACTTTTGCGTACTATCCTTTTTAAATAATTGTTTGTGCAACGATGTGGGTAGCATTTGTATATTTACTTCATTAACTCTAGCATTATTTTCATTCGTGCCTAAATCAGCAGATCTGCTGTTTTCTATTTGTTTTAATTCCTGAGTGTTATTTGAAAATTGCTGATGCAACGTTCTAGTCATTTGTGTATTTACATTGCGAATTTTTTCATCTTTTGTCTTTATATCCGAGTGTTTATTGTCGCTCGTTTTCGAATTTTTTGACACATGTACATTAAAGTCTGATTTGCTTGATTTTCCTTCAGACTGTATAAATAATTTATAGAAGCCCGCCTCAAAATTATCAGGTATCACAGGCGTATTATAAACAGAGTTCGATGCAGAATTGCCATTTTTAGAGGTTGGGTTCTCCCGGTTAACTTTCACATTTTGGCCATTTTTCAGCTGCACTTTTCTCCACTTACTCTTCGTGGAAGATCGAATACCGTCCTCCACGTTCGTGCATTTGTGCCGGATGCAAATGTTAATCAAGCGGATCTTCTGCTTCATTTTACTGCTTAACATTTCTCCTCCTCACGGCAATGTGGAAACACGTGTACTGAAACTATTCACATAACACGCAAGAATATTGTACTAGTAGCTTTAATAAAAAATGGATTCTTACCTTATTGCACAAAATTATTAACCAAATTCTGCTTTTATAAGGAATAATCAATAATTCAATAAATTCAGTAAAATCACTGTCCTGATACAGCAAAAGTCAAATTGCATTCAGCGCCGTGCGATACATGCATGTGTACAGATAGAAGTTTAAGGTTACAAACACAAGATCAGTGTTCTCACAGATCATAGGGGAAAAAAAATTTCATAGATATAAAAGCCTCTATACACAGCACGCGACAGTCGCACTCTCGATCACGCAATTTGAAAATCAATAACGAATTCTCCTTTCACAAATATACGCCCTATTTTTGCGGGTGAAACTCTATTTTGCATAGTTATACTATAAATCGTATCGTCACAATCGCGTGCGATAAATAAATAAATAGAAACAGCTTACAAATTTAATATAAATATATTTTAATTGTTCGCAAACAGAAGCCAGTCACGCACGGCTGAGAAAGAGAATTTTCTTGATTTATTAAGTGTGAGAAATATAATCTGTAAGGTAAATAATTTTAATAGGAAATATCCGTCTCGTTCGAAAATCTAATATATATATATATACACACACACATATATATACATCGATCTTCGTTAGGTTTCGTGACCGCGACGACATCTCGGCGTCCGCCAGTTTGTGTTCGTCATGGCTTCGACTGGTTAGTAGTCGTATAGTAGAATTAGATTATTCTAATATTATCGTTTAAATTACTTTGTAATTTGTTCACTCGGCGATAGCAGAGGATTCTACAGACGAAAGATTTTCTGCTATACACATTACATGTTTTATATCTTTTGTCGCACACGACAAAACTTAATCTCGCACTTTCCCACGCGCTTGTCATTTTTCCTGTCGCCGTTCACATGCCCTCTAAAATTCAAGATATGTGTACAAATCACTAAAAATGATCTTTGCTCTTGATTTTAGAATCTCTGGTTTGCGATACTCTCGACCTGAGCGGTCAGGGTCTTAAGAAGCTCAGTCGGTGTCCCTCAGATGCTGATATTAGTACATTGATCATAGATGACAATGATATACAACGGCTTGATAATTTGGATTCTTACCACAGAATTACCAAGGTATTATATACAAGTTTACATGAAGAATATTGTTAATCTGTGTGTAAAATGTCTAGTTTTATAATAGAATATAACGAGCTCTCGATCAGTGCGACGGATATATTTGTCACTTTGAGATGTGTGTATATTCCATGGTCCTATTTCAGCTTTCAATAGTCAGGAATCAATTGCTGCGGATGTACGGCGTATCAAAGTTACATAATCTTGTCACTCTCAATTTGGCAAACAATGGTATACTTACAATAGAAGGTATCAAGGACATGATCAATTTGCAGACTCTCTGTTTAGCTGGTAATAACATCAAGGTATGATATAATACTGTTCTCTTTGCTGCAATGTATTGTTTTAGAATACTTCATGTAATGATTATTTCATGACTTACAGTCTATCGAACATCTGCACACAAATACTAAATTGGAACATTTGGATTTATCTGAAAACAGCATCAGTCATATTTCAGATATATCTTATCTGCGAAGTTTAAAGGTAAGTTATTATAATGGACTATGTAGTGTATTATAGAATTGTGTGGCGATAATTGAATGCTTTTTGTTTTTATTGTCTATATTTCATGTTCTTATAAAGTAAATGATATTTTAGGAACTTTTCTTGCATAACAATCGCATAATAACATTACGTCAATGCGAACGTTACTTGCCCACATCCCTAGAAACCTTCACATTGGCGAATAACAATATTACTGATTTGAATGAAATGTCACACTTGGCTAATCTCAAAAATCTGGTGAATTTCTCAATCGCTAACAATCCTTGTGTCAGTATGACAGGTAACAGTATGTATCCTTTTTGTGAATTATATGCACATTGTTATTATTCCAACTAGAAGTTAGTAAGCCTTTTTTTGATGTTCTTTAATATTATAATTACGTTTATAATTTTATCGTTATACTGACATGGTAATATAGTGTTATATTTTTTAAATAACACAAACCATAACTTTTCTGCTGATCAAATATTGCTTTCACATTTACTAGACATAAGTTACTAGACATAAAGTTAGTTCAGATTAACATAATACAGTTATGATAGTATATCATTCTTAACCAGTAGCTTATAGTGGGTTTGACTATCGGCCTTTTGTTATTAATTGGTGTATGAGCTTAAAATCAATCGACGGTTATGCAGTTGATCCTCTTGAAAGGTGGGTTCTTCAAAAGTATATCCTTATGTAACTGATATTATATATAAAAATCAATTCATTGAATTTGGACAATTGGAAACTGATTGGCAACAACATTTATTCAGCTTGAAAGCAGAGTGGCTATATTCTCAGGGACGAGGTAGACAATTCCGTGTTGGTGAACACGCGTTACTTGCTCAGTATCTAGCGTCCGTATGTCCGCTTTCGGGCGAATCCCTAGAGAACGAGACGGATCGGAAACTTAGGCTCATACTCAGCAAAGCGCAACATCATCAACAGCAATTGAATCAACAGAGCGATGCCGGAAGTGTACACAGCTTGAGTAGCGTGGCAATGAGTCCCTCACCAGCCGCTAGACGTAGACTTAGCAATAACAGGACAAATTCTCCCAGACGACCTAGTGAGTCCAATAAATCTGTCATTTCTTGCGTAGTGTCGTATTGGAAAACTCGGGAAGTGAGTTTTGTCGAAAAGTCGATTTCTACTCGTAGTTGCGAGAAGTGGACTAGTAGTGATCTAGATTTTCCAGTCGTCAAGTCCAATACACACACATCCTAGTTATGATCTGTTTTCTCTAGTGCCAATGTTGACATACTATGAAGATAAATGCTTACAATCACCAAAATTTTATGAGGCAAAGTACTGTGTCTACCATGCCCCTTACAAAGGTATCCAAGATCAAACTGAGGATTTATCATATACATTGAATGAAACGACATAGCAGGAATGTGCAGGAATCTAAGGGCAATTTTTTTTTTTTAATTTGTCCCGAATAGATTACAGATATTAGATTTTGTTTAATAAAATTACACTCAATTCCACAGTATATAGATAGTAAAGCTAACATTTTTTTACATAATTTTTTGTAAGCATATCTTAATATTAATTTCTATGCACAATATTTATAACGTTACATTCTCGCTGCTAGTCGATTCCGATCTATATATCACAATTGACATTTACAATAGAGTTGGAGGAACACACTTAGGATTTGGATTCATGCACATGCCTATACCACTTATACTTTCTAAGCAGTTCTCGCTTTTCTAGGCTTATAGTGCGTACGACCATTGGCAGATGAAAGCAGTTAAAAATTTTATTACAGTGTCGCTACTTAGACAATTTTGTTAGCATATTAGAGTCGGACGATTTGGAAAGACATTTTCACATAGTTCACATTTTTCCTTTGGATAGCGTATAATTTCGATTAGTAGACTGCGTATCATTTGCATGCTTCGGCTAGCGAGGCTAGCGTCAGAAACTACCCACAACTGAATTTTTACGCGAATAAGTTTCTAGTGTGAGAAATATCAATTATATGATTTCAAATAATATTTATCAGCTTCCGCGAGGAACTCGCTGAAAATGAAATCGCCAGATCGCATGGTGTCCAGCTGTCATACGGACGCTATGGTCTCCTCGTGTCACGTTTTATTGAACGACGACCACGAACAGAACACTATGATGACCCAGAGCTTGGATCCGAATATGCTCTCCGGTACACTGAGTAACAAAACGTCGAACAACAGCTTGCAGGATATGGAAGGTAAGGCATATAATTTAATAATGTGGAAACAAATTGTAACGAAAAACATTCTCTGTTTAGAAACATCGAGCCCGTTGCAAGCGGCCACGAAACTGGTACCGGTGCCGGAATCTTTAATGAGTCCGGACTTCCGCCCGCCGTCTGGCCTTTCGCGGATTTTACCAAAGACGCCCACGGCGAGCAAATTGAGCTCCCCCTGTCAAATCACGATACCCAGCAAGCCTTCTATGGACGGAGATGGGAAAGCAATTCCGATCATAAACACCGTAAATCCTATGGCGAAAACGAATCTGAGCGCTATAAAGGCGAACGCGCTCGTGAAGAGTAATTCCGCGACAAATTGCAGCGTTCCGAAGCCGAATATAGCTAAGCCGGTCGTGACGTACGCTAATAGCAAGTGTCCGCACAGTGTGAAGATCAACAATTACGTTCAGAGCAAGACGTTGCCGGCGAAGAGGAGCATGAAGAGTCCTAATTTAGCTAGGAGCATACAACGGCCGAAGAGCGCGAACGAGAGACTCAAGAGCAACTTGAATAAAGACAAAGACGGCGGTAACGCCACACAGAGTAGCGACGAGGACAGCGAAGTATGTCAGGCGAAATTAGATGGTATTCGACATAGAGCCCTTCAAAGAAGGCAGGAAGACAGCAACAAAGGTAAAGTACAAAATTTTAAAATAGATGCGAATACTTTCTATATTTAATTACGCACTAACGAGTATCTTCTCGGATTAACAGATCAGGATCAGGTGGAAAAGGCTGCTATCTGCATTCAAAGAATGTGGCGGGGATATTACACAAGGAATCTCAACGGAAAGGCGACCAATATATTAAAAACGATCGACATGTTAAGAACGAATAAATACATTCAGTAAGTTTGCGCATAACACATGATCCTGTGTGTATTATTCGGGGAATAAAATTTGTGTGAAATTATTTGACAGGAAACTGTCAACTGACATGGAAGCCACGAGGACCGCTCTCGAAAGCGAGCATAAATTACAATTGTTACAAATGCAAGCGATTAACGCGTTGTGGAAAAAGGTCGTCAGTCTTCAACCGGGCAGCAATCGGGAGAACGCTTTCAGCGATGCGGATAATGCTCTACAACCGAACGCGGATGTAGTTAGCAATCTCGCGCAAACGTGTAATTTACTACACACTCAGGTGAGGTTTTAGCTGAGGAGAGTTTGCTAAAGACTTCATATTTCTCTAATATATAATGCATTTTTTTGTTTCTTAGGTCCAGGAATTGCAGGACTCGATGTCCGAGATAAAGCGTTGCATGTCGAGTATGAAACCGAGGCCGACTCTCGTCGATAACGGTGTCGGCACTCAAACTGAAATATCTGCCGTGCACACACCAGCAGGCGAAGAGAACACGTTTCCGTACGTGCGCGCTAACAGACCGCAGAGTTTGCCGATACATCAAACGATACACGAGGGAAATGAGAACAAGAGTTTCGCGTCCAACTTGGTTGACAGCGTGCTGAAGAAGGTGTCGCAATCCACCGACACGACGGATGACGAAGTCAATACGGACATCTTAAATTCGAACGAGAATCCTGAGGTGCTGAATTCGAACGAGAATCCGGAGATGTTCAAGAGTTGCGAGGAGATAATAGAATCCGATTTGAAAGAGGCGGTTGAGAACGAGGCGACAAATGATTACGAAGAAATAATCGAGAACGCGATAGACGGCGAGGTATGCGAGGAAACGCTGTGCAAGGAACTGCACAATTTGATCGAAACGGAAAATGGTGCAAAACACTATGAAAACCCCGAGAAGGAAAACGCAGTCAATGGAGACGACAAGGAAATCTGTTAGATTCGACTATAGCGAGAGAAATTTCCACACCATATGCCTTGTGAGTAATGCAATCACGCTAAAACGGTACGTGCGAAGCGAAAGAAACACGCACGTCCAAAGATGCTCACTGTAAATAACGTCGAAAAAGTATTTGTAAGCGTAACGATACTGTAAAACTAGATTAATTTTAATCGTAAAAAACATTTTGTTACAAAAAGGGATACTTTGATTACAACAAGCTGCCATTCTGATGAAATAAAGAGTATCCGTGTAATTTAAATAAACAAGATTGATAAAAACAGTGCGGTATAACCGATATTTTAGCAAAAAGTTACATCAACGACTATAAAGTGTCTGACTCAATTTGTTCAATTTTTGTTATGTTATTCGTGTCACCGTAAGAAATTTTGGAAATTTTCCGTCCATACCTCCGGTTATTGGCAGTAGTTGTAAAACATTCACATAAAACAAACAGTATATATTTTACCGAACTGATTGAGAACTGTTTCAAAAACATTCCACTAATTCATTGCTCTCTTACCTCCTTGAAATAGTTTGATGCTATTCCAAGAGACTGCATTAAAAGAAATACCGATTTATATATTAATATTGTCAAAAATTACAGCATCTACATAAAGAAATATATTTATTATCGACAAAGCACATCTATATAATATAGCTATTCAATTTTTGGCTTTTTTCACGCAATATTTCATATTTAATAATTTATTTACCTATTTATTTCTCAATATACAAAAGTGTTACTTTTAGTATATATTAAAGATACTGAAGCATTAGGAAAAATTAGTAAGAAAATATAATTGAAACTAGTCAATACAGTAGCTTTTACATTTAGATACACTGTAGATATTTACTCAAGAATTGTTATGTAGATATTACTCAATGTTATAAAATAAATATTGCGAGATCTTCATTGAAAACACGCTATTGCATCGTTGAAAAACACGATTTAAATCATATGAAAGAAATGTAATTGCGTTTTCATAACTATTGATTCTACGATAATTTATTGCGACAAAGAATTGTTGATTGAATCATTTAATATTCCGCAAATACACGCGAGCTTAATAAAATGACATTGTACGTCAATTGCAACATATTATTTTACTCGCTGATGCATTTTTTGGTGCTTGAAATTTTTAAAATAATTCAGAATGTTTGTGAATTCGTAGATAAACGTTCAATGCATATGATGTAACTTGCGAGTATATTGTAGTAATGTTTGCTCATAGGATATGCTTAGCTTAAATTTATAATGTGATTTTTTGAGAGATAAATCGTGATGTGAACCAAAGTAATTTCCTAATAATAACATGGATTGGAGATTGATTTACTCGTGAATCGAGAATGTAGAAACATAACTGCAGTATTACATTTATTTCTCATTCCCTGACAAAACTTACAAGTTATACAAAGTAATATATAATATTTAAATTATCACACGCCAATCGCATCAGTTATTATATATACATTATTTTAAACGTTATAACATTTTAAATTTATATATAATTTTATTTTAAGAAAAGATATATATATATCCAAAATTTGTTATGTTACTGTCTAACTTTACAATAAAAAATGCACTTCACAAGTATCTAATAACTTGAAATATTTATGAGATATTTTTCTTTCTAGTTTATTAGATAAAAAAGATAATTTTAAAATAAAAATATATCAAAAAGATATATAATAACAAATATAATAAACATAATTCTTAACATCTCACATTTAATTTATCAGTAAGTAATGATATAACACAAACATTTGTATATTGATTAAAATATTGATATTTCGATTTATTGTATTTGATAAAAAAATCTGATACTTGTATTGATCTTTTTCAACATTTTTATATTTGATAATGTAATTAATTTTTAAATATCTGTTTCAATTTATTAATTAAAATAAACTGATTTATCAACTATCTAAAAAATTTTTTTATTAAATTTTATTAAAAATATTAAATAATAAATTAATAAATTAATTTATAAAATTTTTATGAGTAAAAGATGTACTCACGGAACATATTTTTATATGTTAATTTTTCATTTTTTAGGTAAGAATTTATTTTTTCTTTTGCTTTCTTTATTTTCAATTTAAGATTGTTGTCATTGGGATACTGCTCAGACACTTTCTCCCAATCTTTTAACGCTGATTCATATTCATTCATGCTCTCATAGGCTTGTGCTCTTCGATGTAATGCTTTGTGATTAGTTTTGTCCACTTTTAGAACCTGCATAAAATTGCACATCAAAATATAAAGCAGTATTGTCTTATTTTCTCAAAAGATATTCAATTTACCTCTTCACAAAAATATATAGCTTCATGATGCTTTTTCTGCTTTAATTTTACAGCAGCTAGATTAAGTAACAAAATCAATTTAAGATTTTCTAAAGAAGCATAAAATGTGTCTGTCATGTTTTGCTGCTTAGTCATCCAATGGTAATACCGTAATGCTTTTTTATACTTTCTACCAGCATCTATAAAATTTTCTTTTAAAAAATAATCATTTCCAGTGTCTTTTATCTTCATTATGACTTCTTCCATATATTTGTACTAAAAAAGCGAATAAACTCATCAAAATAAAATTTATTATATATAAAATGTAAAACATTTTTGAAAACGATATACGAAAAATAATTTACATTGAGATTATGGGCAGGATAAATCCAATCTGTTGGCCATGATGGATAAATATCCTGAGATTCCTCATTCTCTTCCAGTTCCCAATTTGCATCTTTTTCCAATTCCCCACAATCGATTATACTTACTTTCTAAACAAACCAATCGTGAAACTGGATGATTATTATTTTATAAAGTGCAGAAATTATTATTTTTGTTTGTCAAGATACAGATATCTTACCTCAAGTGGAACATGCTTTTCTGTTGCTACTTTATTGATTTCCAACACAGCATCCATACCTTTTATAACTTTTCCAAATACTACATTAGTCTTATCCAGATGTATGGAAGGTTGAACAGTGATGATAAATTGAGAACTGTTGGTATTTGGCTTTCCTTCATTTACCATACTAAGTAATCCACTGTACTTATGTTTTGTTACAAAACTCTCATCATCGAAATAAGGACCATAAATACTTTCTCCGTCGGTCCCATTATAATTAACAATGTCCCCACCTTGGATCATAAACTGTGGGACAACTGCAGCAACACAAAATTAAAAGTATGCGATAGTCAATATTATGATGTGAACAATTGAATATTCAATTAAGAAAACAAACTGTATTCTAAATAAATAATATTATTTATAATCTAAAAAAAAACGTAAAGCTTAAAAATATATTTCCATATTGTAAACTTTAAAATTAGAATAATAAACAAATGAAAAAAAACATAAGAAAACCAGATAATACTAAAATCATGTGACAATATATATAAATTTAAAAAAAATTATATTGGGCAGTAAAGAATGAAATAATGAAAATTGAGAAATACCTTTGTGAAAGATGCTTCCTTTGTAATGCAACTTCTTGGCCTTTGTTCCAACACCTTTTTCGCCGGTGCATAGTGCACGAAAATTCTCAGCGGTTTGTGGCACGATATTCTTAAATAATTCTATTATGACTCTTCCCACTAGAGAATAATAATAAAACTATGAATCTCATGTTTCACTGGATTACAACGAAATATTTGTAACCTCACGATAACCTCACGCAAGATACCTTTTTCGGGGCCGATTGCGAGATCTAAAAAAACTATGGGGTTATCTTCAAAAATCTTATTTGTATCATATTTCGAAAAAGTCAGCATGTTAGTATGATTGTCAGACTTTGATTTTTTCTTACAAGTGTATATAACATATGCGATATTCACATAAACATAATATTTTGGAGAGGTGTTGCGATTAAGATATGTGTCTTTGCGCATGTGCGAAGGATAAAATATCAGTAAAGTACGTACTTTGAAAAAAACTTCAATATCCTTATGTTGCTGTATTCCACCGCACATTTTAACAGTATTTTTATTAATTTATTTACGTACTTGTCCTAAGTCTATCTCTTTTATCTGAATCTGTTAAAACATTTTTGTGCACATAATATTTCGTACAAATATACGGAAGTTTGCTTCACTATACATCACTGCTATACATCACAGTCGCTTATATTTTACACAGTAGACAACGAACATTATCAAACTCTGTTGTGAGTAAATTTTCGTGATTATCAAAGAAATCTTTTAACATAACATAGAAAAATGTATAAATAATTGAGTGATTTGTTTCTGATTTTAGTTATTATAACTACTAAATTGCAGTTTTATAAAAAATGTAATATATTATTGTGTCGTAGCTATGTGTAGATTGTAATATAATACTAGATTGTGAAGCAAACTTTCGTCTTTAATAGTACTTTTGATCAAATGATAATATTCAAATTTGATACGAATTATCATTGTTGTTTTCTAGTGAAATGTGAATACAATTATTTAAAACAATAATGTGCGATTAATTGACTATTATATGTAAAAAATAAAAACTGCAATTTTGTACAAATATAATTGTAACTCTCATCAATGTGAATGATAATAAAGAAAATATATACTCCAAAAAATTAGGTCCCACCGAGATTTGAACTCGGATCGCTGGATTCAGAGTCCAGAGTGCTAACCATTACACCATGGGACCTCTTCTAGAAGAGAGTGGTAGACGACATATATGAAGTTTCGAAATTTTACAATAAAAATTTTTGCAATTTTAAACAATTTTAGAATATATTGATACAAATCTGTAATCTTAGCCGGTACAAATATCAGAAACTTACATATGCGACGGAATAATAATGTATTTTCGACGATGGATAAAAATTTATTTATTTACTGCATTTGCAAAATGTTCATTGAAAAGTATATTATGTGTAAATTTGTATATATATATATATATATGTGTGTATGTGTGTGCGTGTAACATATAATAATGCTTTGTACAAAACACATATGTGTATATATAGTTGTTATATCTAATTCTTGAATTAAACAGGGAAGGGATAACATAAAAATACCAGGTGCCTATTTTTCCGTTTTATCATTATAATAAGTATAATAATGAAATTTCTCACAGAATAACGTATAATCGCATATCGCTTTGTTATATAATAAATTTTAATACATATATATATATATATATATTTATATATCTTTAATTTATACTTCAGAATTCAATAAGAATTCTTGCTATGTATATATGTGTATATATAAATTACAATACTATATAAACAAGCAAGATATTAATACACTTATATTGTAAGTAATCAAATCTCTAGAAGCTCCTCTAGCGCTATTATATACTATCAGAACTTTTAGCTTTCAGTATTCTGGAAATAACAAATCGTATATTTTACTCGTCCACACAACACATTTTGACTCCGGTATGACTTACAATTTGACATGCGCTCTACGCATTTACGTACTTTAGCAATTTGTGTTCAAATGAACAACGCACAAATGAATAAGATCATCTTAAAGCATTGTACGTATTTTGAGCAATAAAAATGTACAATTCTCTTTTTTTTTCTGTAGCCTATCTCGTAGGACGTCACATAAAACAATATTTGTGTTTTGGTATGTGTGCGAAAGACAAGTCGCCTCTCTTTATAGTTTCTTGCATTGTCTTCATTTCACATAGTGAGTTTGGCAAATTGTTTTGAAGATCTGTTTATTCTATATAGATACGATTGATAAATATTACGATCTATACAATGCTTTCCCTTAAGAATGTCGATTATATATTATACAAATACGATCCCACATATAGAAATGCTGTGTTTGTTCTAAAGCATAGTTGAATAAAGGTGCAGATTCAATGGTTTTCAATAGAAAAAAAGTAGACGCTCCTGTGCACTTCCGGACAGTAGTCTCCAACCACGCTTGATGTTCAGATATTGGACGATGGCACGCACACAAATTAGCACTCCTAAACAAATATCATTTTACATTTTTAGTAACAAGTGTAGAATATGTAATCAATGTAATCGAATTGTAATCAAAATTTCTGGAATATTATACACACCAAATGCCATTATTAACCACCAGAGCCATGAATTTTCTCGTGATGCAAGATCAGTGGAATGCTTGACAATAAGTGTCCACTTTGTTAGGGACAATCCAAAACCAGCTAATGCACCGTAACGAGATGCAATAGTATGACAGAAACACATCAATAACAGAAATCCAATCCAATTAAATAGGAATGCCACTGTAGCAGACAAATAAATTAATATAAATAATTTTCGCTTTAAGAGAAAGAAAAGTTTGCAAGATATAAAAGTATCTTACCAAGAAACGCTGTGAAGAACATAAAATCTGTGCCAAGTAATCCACTTTCTGGATCTCCCTCTGCAGCTTCTGTATCTATAGCCAATATCGTCAGAGGTTGTTGTGGTGGTCTAATATTTCCTGGCTATAAAATATTTAAATTAATTCTTGTAATTGGTTTAAAATATAAATATTCATGCAGCTCACACAAATAATCGCAAATACTCACGTTCTAAAGTTCTTTTAGCTACAATTACAGAATGTTCTACTTAAAATTGGTCCGCGTGCATAAAAGTTATGTACACGGATTAGTTTTAAGTTGAGCAATCTGTACATACCATATGTATTTGAGGTTGAGGTTCACCCTGTAGGGTCTTTTCGCGTTGCACCTCTTCATAACTAGGTAATTTGGTAGCTACTTCATATGGAGGTGGCGCACTAAAATCTGGTTTCGGGGGTGGAATCTCTTCTCCATCAGACTAAACAATTATATTGAATTAATGATCATTTATATTAATGAATAGTTTACACATTGTAAACTGTGTAATAGTTTATATTACATTACCATCCGATTTGTTGTTGCGACCTGTGCGCCAGTTGCAGAAGCACCAGAATGAACAAGTATATCAATTTGTGTGAACGGCATAGTCATAGTAGGAATTTCGCTTTGCTGTGACGTTTCGCCACTAGTATCCGCACTTGTTTGAGGCGGCTATAGAGCAATTCATGGAATAAATTTTGATAAATGCAGAATATTGCTGTTAAATTCTTTATTCCGTTTCAAAATAAACCGATAAAAGTTTTTAAAATCAAAATACACATGTCTCATCAGAATATAAATAATGGTGCAGTTTGTCTAGAGTCCAGTAAAAATGATCAAAACAAAATGACGAAGTTAGAAAAATGAATGATTTGAAGGTAACTACAGTCGAACGAAAAAATATTGACGATCGTGCAAGATACATTTCTATCACACGAAATGCGCAAATATTCATAATGTTCTCCCGCGGTGGCGAGATATATTTCGCGTAAAATATTTTGGTACAAAAAAGAGCAATGTCCGTGAAGCATTTGATGAACGGAACCATTTACGGCTTGTCATCAATGGACGTACCGTGTTGTGATGGACGTTACTGTCCATTTCCGGCCAGGTATCGCGAGGCAACTGATAAATAATATCGCTAATGACCTCCGTGGGGGACGGTACACGCGTTTATGAAACGTAAAATGCTGCTTTCCAAAGCAGCAAAAAGCGTTCACAATCGATGTCTGACAGCTGGTAAGTCGTAACCGACGTGAGAATTTCACGTTGTTCTAAAGTTACGTCTATCATTCCCAAGGAGTGACCACGAATTCTTTAGGCTCTGCTCATACCAACAATATAAATTATGTTTTTTTCTCTATTGTAAATATATTCAGATACGACATTACTCTGTTTTCTTTCCACTTTACTTTAATTTTTTATTTTCTCTTTATTATTATGTTATAATATTATTATTTTCTACATTATTAATAATTGTCAACAATTGTCTTTTGAAATACTAAGCGCTAATTGGCTTCTACTACAAACACGCGTTGTAAATCAAGCCTTAGGACGGGACTATAACCACCGGAAAACAGTCTGATCTACCGGAAGCATGCCTTTCACAATTTTAATGACTTTCACTGGTTTTTTTTTAACAGCGATGCAATGCATTTTCTACATACTGCAAATAACGCACAATATCAATATCTGCAATACTACACGTAATATATTGCGAACACTGCCGATCCGTGAAATAGTCGCTTATTTGACTAGCCGGCCGGCGTAGTCGGTTCAGTAGGGGGCAGCGCGAGGAGGAGGTGACTCCGTTCACGTCGTCGCGCATAAACGACGCTGCGTTCACCAGTCAGTCGCTCGCTGACCGTCACTAGGGCAGGTAGATCGATTGTTGTCATCGTGATGTCGGAAGTATTCAAACTGGGTGATCTAGTATGGTGTGTATTAAGAGTGTGCATATCGTGATCGTGTACTTTGGTGCGGGCGTACTAATGTACTCCATCTTTCTTTTTGACTTTCAGGGCGAAGATGAAGGGATTCTCACCGTGGCCCGGCCGGGTAAGTGCTATCCCCCAACTAGAGACCGTCTTAACGCGCGGGCTCGCGCCTTTGCTTCGTGAACGTCGCTTGCGCGCGCGCGTTGCGGGTCAGCATACGCGCTCGCTCGATCGCTTGTATTTGGTGGATTGTGTCGTTACTCGTTTGCGTAAACCGTTTTGTTTTATCGGCGTTCGTCAACATAAAGTGGCACCGTCCGTGACGCAGCTGTCGACGCCACTGCTCCGGCCCGCATCGCATCGCACGGGACTATCTCCCGCCACACCCGACCTTCGAATTCAAATTGGCGCGCAAACCGCGATAATATAACCTAAATACGCCAACGACACCGAGCGATCGCATCTTTCTCCTTCGTTTGAGTTCACCGCGAAACCAGTCATCTCCGTTATATATTTGTTGACGCAATAAATTGGATAATAGTACCGAGGTCCGCTGTCGACGAGACTTTAGAATTCGTCCCGCGTAATCTGTCTTCTTTCGTTTGATTGGTGGAAACGCTTGTGACGTTGACATCGTGTTGCACGAGCGGGCGCGATTACGTTTGATCAAATTATCACAGCTGCGTTCTCCACATTTATAATGAAATAGAAATGCATATTCAAGCTTACTTTAAGGGAAAAGAAGAAAATAATCAAGTGTAAGAAATGTTACTGAAAATCTCGTTCCTTGAAGTTTATGATAATTTGCGCGCTAGTTATCAGTTCACAACAGAGGCATACAAAAATCGGAAGAAAACTACAAGTATGCAGTTTCTGTATAATCTTTCTTTAACATAAAAGTTTTTCATCCTAATATATAAATAAAAAAACGAATTTGTTTTAACGTTTACGGCTGAAGAATTATCACTTGATAAAAATATGATAAATATTTAAAAAGTATTTATACATACTTGTCATATTTCCATACGTAAAAAATATTTCTTTATACTTGCCATACTTTCAAATTTATAGAATTTTTCTGAGGATTTTTTGTTTTAATTTTATATTATAGAAATTTGTAGGTGAAACAATTGTGTTATATAAAAATATTGTCAATTTTTGTATTATATTGTATTACATTTTATTTTGCAATGTGTTAATATTATTGTTGATAATATTGCTTCACGAATGAATTGTAAATTGCAATGGATTATAAGATATATACAAAAAATATTAATTTTGAATATAAATCATATATATAAATTTTATAATGGCATGTAAAGGTCTCAGTTCCCTCGAAGGATCTAAAGAAGCCCGCAAATACTAAAAAGGGACCAGTACAGTGTATTTTCTTCTTTGGGACAAATAATTAGTAAGTTCTACTTTCAGTTTATCATACGCATAAAATGTTATTATAATTTGTATTCTGCAATAATATGTTTTGTTGTAGCGCTTGGATAGAAGAAACCCACATTAAACCATACCAAGAGTATAAAGATACTCTAGTAAAATCTAGCAAATCTGGCGCTTTCAAAGATGCAGTAGAAGCTATAGAAGAATTTATCGCTAAAGGAGAGGTAAGTTAAATTTTTAGAATTAAATTTGGTAATTTATGAATTATCTGTTGTTTCAGTTACATTTCATTAAAATGTAATTATATTATAAACATTAAATTGATCTAATTAAATATTATATTAATGATAACATTTTATGATAAAATGATATTTAACGATAAAATTTTATGATAAAATAATATTTAATAATAAAATTTTGTACAAGCACACACATACACATCGAGAGAATAAAAAAAAATATAAAATTAAAAATAAAATACATAATAATCGTTGTTTATGTATATTAAGTTTTTTACATTGATGCATCAGGTGTTTGAAGATGGTTTGGATCCGGATTCTTTGTTTGACAAACTTAAAGAAGAGACTTTGACTGAGAAGAAACCTGTCGTCAAAACACCAAAACCACGCAAGGTCAGTAGCAAATTTTGCATTTTTTTTGTAAAGATTGATAAAAATTGCAAAAATTGTTCATTGTGTATTATTTGTATAATTGTTTATTTTGTATTATATATATTATATATATGCAAACTGAAAAACTACTGCTACAGGAAGCAACAAAAACTCCTAAACGATTAAGCGATAGCAGTACAGGTGATCGCCGACCTGCTAAAAAGCAGCGTAGGGAATCAAATACCAGCAATAGCAACAGAGTTGGCAGCGTTAGTCCTACATTGAATCATTCTACTCCTGCTAGAAAAACAGGCTCACTTCTAAACAGACCGGCAAATATCGCCAGACCTGTAAGTAGCTATGTTGATGTCTTTCTCTCATTATTATTACAAAAGATGAATTATTGTATTTACATGATTATTAATATAATGAAACTTTAAGCAATATGATTTAATAATGATATTAAAATGGTATAAATTTTACTTGAATTTTAACACAAATGCATGACATTGAAAAAATATATATTAATGCAAGAAATTACAGTGCACATTTAGTGCTAAATGTAGTCGTTTAAATTTAAGTTTTGTTCTAATATTTTGGATCATTAAGTATGTTACTGGAGACCGAGAATTAAATGCGCAAAATATTGTGTATTTGTGTGTGTGTGTGTGTCTCTGTGTGTGTGTGTGTGTATATATATATATGTGTGTGTATACACAAATATATACAAATGCGCTTCGGTGCCGCAGTCATATGATGACCCTATTGATTCACACAAATCTATTTTAATTTAATACAAAAAATATTTAAAAAATATATGATTATAAAAATATGAAAAATTTCAGCTTGAATTTAAATGACATAATAAGAATATGTCTAATCTCTACGGATGTATCTATAGTCATATTAAGCATTAGCTAAGACCTCACAAAATACAGAGGCCTTAAAACATTGCATTATTATAGAAAAAATAACAAATTTCCCAATTTTTTTATCGATAATAAAACATATTGAACGTTTAACATAATCTAGAAAAATGGGAAGAACATTACAAAGAAACATCTCAGAAATAATATATCCTGAAAGTGTTTAATATTAGATGCTTGCCTTTTTATAAAAAGTATTGCAAAAAACTGTATCATTACCATCCTTTTCCAGTCATAATAGTCCTTTATTTTTTGCACAGGTTACACCGCCTTTAGATGTAGAAACAATGTCTCAAACCCTTAAGGAGAAGAACATCCTCCCGTCGAAGCTGAAATTTGGTTTCCTTGGACTCGGCATTATGGGTAGCGGAATCGTGAAAAATTTGATCAACAGTGGTCATAGTGTGATCGTATGGAATCGGACGCAAGAAAAGGTATGTACCG